ATCAAACGGCGAAAACTGCGAGTCTTCATCTACTTTCGTTCAATCGTTATTCAAAGAATGGCCACGGATATCATATATAATACTCCCGTACACTCTAAAAAGAAATGCGACTTCAACGATGAGCTCGGTGTATTCGTTTACCAGACGAATGTGTTCACCACTGAACCACACATCTTCCATGCGACTCCAATGTGACTTCTATATGTCTACCAATAGACACGTTGAAGCCATATAGAAGACATCTATTATTTTGAATACTCAATCTAGTCACATACAAGACACTTTTCCTCGGCAGACGCATCGCTGAAGTCGCATTTCTTTTTAGAGTGTACGGGAGTATTATATATGATATCCGTGGCCATTCTTTGAATAACGATTGAACGAAAGTAGATGAAGACTCGCAGTTTTCGCCGTTTGATAGTCAACACTTAAGAGCATGTTTTCGTAAGCAGAAAACATTCAGAAACGTTTTTCAAAAACCGTTTTCTAAGAGATCTCTGAAAAACTGTTTCATAACTGAAAAAGTCGACATATCAATATATTGTTTTATTTCCATAGATAGATAGACTAAAGTGTCCTCCACAAAACAGAACCAATCTTGCACAGGACCGTTTTATGTAACAGTTTTTCCTAAATCTAATATGTAAAATCTTGCTAATTTAATTACATCAGAATTACACATGGGATGGTTATACTCATGCATTTTTTTAATCATATCGACAAGATACGATTCTTCTTATTTAGATAAAATCGTTTTCCGAGCTGATGTGCCACAACGGTTGTACATGATTAAAGTTCGGGACATTTCTATGGAAAAATACATTTTTCAGTTTTGTTCATATACGGCTAGGAGAATAAGGTTTCAGAGTTGATCAGTTTTCTTCAGCCATTCCAACGGAAATTACTGAATTACTCCAGTGCTTTCTACGTGATTCTCAAATTGCCCCTTCTGGAGCAATTCAAGAATCGAGTTATTTGACTGACATCTGTTATTTCTAGTACGTTGTTTCAAACCATGTAACGAGTAAACATTTCTGAGGAAAATAAGACGTCTCCGAGCTCTCCACAACATTTTTTCATCGAGTTGCATTAAATTTACGAATAGCCCGCCCCAAGACATTTCTGCTGCTTTTTTGCAGATTTTTCTAGTTTTCTATCCGTTCAGTATTTTGCCAATAAGTCTATTAAACTTAAGGTTTGAAACAACGTACTATAGCTTATTTTGTAGCCCTTTCAATTATAAAATAGAAGGCATTTGCGATCATTTTCACTCAAAATCATACTAGACCGTTTTTAAGCAGAAACCAATACCCATCCTTTAGATGGATAATCTAATAAATAGGACGTTGAGAATTACTAGACTATTCGTGTTGTTATCAACCAATGTCAGTGTACGTCGAGATCTGAGTTGTTAACATTAGATTGCATCTATTCTGGAAATTAATAAATGATCTCGAAGAAAGATCGTTAATAGTTGCGATAAAAATGTCAGGTTCTCCATAGTATAAGTAGTCTCTCTTGTAGAATATCATCCATAACAACTGCTAAATAGAAATTAGAGTAGATACTGTTCTGTTATTCTTGGTTGCTAATAATTAAGAAAATATTATTAAGGCACCAGAGAAGCTCTTAGGCCTTATTGTGAGAAGCTTTTGGCCTTATTTCACTACATGGTTGCTACACAATATTTATCAAGCGTCATTATTATTATGATTCGTTTTCTGAAAGCAATCTGTTCACTTAAATTCCCTGTAAAGTACAGTATATAGATCAACAGCAATGCCGTTGATGAGTAAAGCTAATGTGCTTACGTCAGAAACGGATACCCGTCCTTTGAACAATCTCAATCGAGTTATGCTGTGTGCAATGTGCAAAGACTATCAGATGTTATTAACCCGAACATCACGATATTGAACAACGACGAATAACACATTATCCATTGAATAAATTGCATTCAGATTGTCAGAAAGAAAATTAAAATCGCTAAAAGACTAAAACTTTTGAGTAAAAAATGAATATCTCATTGTCTCATTCAACGATTTTTACAATTTCATTCATCAATTGTTTGTACAAGTACTTTCATTTTCTTGTTTAAGTTCTTCTACTATTTAAGAAAGTTCAATTTGTCTCTTACTCTTATTTCGTTTTGTTTCGAGTGACAGCCAAAAAATACTATATATATTTAAAAAATGAATATGTCATTTAACTTACGAAAAAAAATAGAATTTTATTTTTTTACAGCATACTGATATAAGTAGAATACTTTATTTGGTTAGTTATAATGGATAGTTAGTAATGTTGATCAAATTATGTTTAAATATTCTATTTATTTAAAATTTGATCTTTTTATTATTGTCTTCAAAAATAGTTTACTAATTTATTTCTCATGTTTTTCTTTTCATTCATTGGCACACAATAACATTGATGGTGGTGGTGTTTGTTGAAATTATTTTTGTTACTGTTGTAAATTAGTGTAAATATTCTCTGTTGATCTTGTTGGTGATGTTGACGGCGAAAGAAAACGAACTTTTTTAAATTTATAAACTTTCTTCAATAATGGAAATGTTTCTTGTTGTTGATTATACCAAATATTTTTATTAGAAAGTAATGTAGCACTATAAATTTGAAAATGAATTAAATTTGTAAAATATTTTTCAATTAAAAGTAAATGATAATCATTCCATGATGCATGAGTAAATTCAAATTTTAAATATTTTACACTAATAAATATAGAGGAAAGATCTTTGATAATTTTTGATTTTGATTTATTATCACTATAACATTCTACAACAATTTCTAAATAACATATTCGTTCTAATATATCTCGTACAATAATATTATTAGTCATTGATTGTTGAATTATAGATAATAGTTCATTATATCCAATTGTTAAATTAGATAGATTTGGTGTCATTTCAATTAATTGTAAAGCAAAAATATCATTTGTATTTTTTGTTATTGTTAAATGACGTAAATTTGATAATGAAATATATAAATTTTCATTATTATTATTATTATTATTATTATTATTTGTTGTTAAAACTCCTTTTTGTCGAATTGTACTATTAATAATTTCTAATTCACATAAATTTGGAAATTGTTTAATAGTAAAATAAAAAGATGATATCTGAACACCAGCAGATGGTACATATAATGATAATGTTTTTACTGTAGAATAAATATTAGTTATTGATTGTGTAAGTGAGATCTGAAATGTTTGATTTTTATATGGTATTGTATGTAATATAAATAATTTCATTGAATCAATTATATCATAATAATGAGAAATATTAATATTTAAATTATGCCAATAATCACTATGAAATGATGATAAAATAGAATTAATATCCGGAATAAGTGTATTTAATATTTGTAATCGAATAGAAAAAAAAAATTTTTTTAATTTTGGCATAAATAATTTTCCTAAATATTCCCATTCACATCCATTAAGATAAGTAATATCATTTGTATAAATATCAATTGTTAATATTTTCAATGATGTAAATTTACGCAATAAATTTGAAAAATCTTCAAATTTTATACCATTATATTGATAAATTTTAAAATTAAAATAAACTAAATTTTGTATGATGTTTATACGTTTTAAACTCTGTTGCCATTCATTATTATCATATGAATGAATATGAACGTTTAAATCATAAATATTTGGTGTAATTTCAAATAATTTTAGTAAATCTGACATTGTTTTTAATGATATTTTTACTTTTTTGATAGTATAACATGGTTTTATATCGTGGGTTGTTTTAGTCAATTCTATACCATTTTGAATATTAAATGAAATTTTATTTAGTAGATGTTGTTGAGCAAATATTCGAGAATAATAGTCGAAAGTTGATGTCCAATCATTATTTATGGTCAAATAGAATTCACTTAAATGTTTGAAATATCTCAGCGTTGATAATATTTTTGTTGATGATTCATCAAAATCAATCAATTTTAAACATTTAAGATTAGGAAATATTTGATAAATTACAAATTGTTTATTAAACAGTGTGATTTGTCTCGGTGCATATTTGTTACTTAACGTTAAAGAATATACCTTGTTTGATAATATTTTATCAAACAAAAAATAATCACATATAAATTCATATTGTTTGAATGATACACCGGATAAATCTATTTCAATATGACTTTTTAACTGTGTGATAATTCTGAAACGTTCATTAAGACCATCGAAGGCGTATAAAATATCAACAAATTTTAAGTAAGAACATATATTTACCAATACTTCATCGGATAACTGCTCGAAGTGTGACATGATCATGTCTACAAATGTGCAAGAAATATGAGATATTTACAGGAAAATACCAGAACCAAGGAATAGACTTGTCTCTAGAAAATTGATAACGAGAGAGTTGAAGCATAAAAAACACGAAACTATTGTTGGTAAAAAAAAGAATGGGCTCGGATGTTTCTTAAATAACGTTTTTGCTTGCGGTCTTCATCAATTGGAAGCCAAGATCTAACTGCATCTTTTCATCACGAAAGTCATTTTCAAAATCTTTTTCTAAAGTAGGTTTCTTAGAGGATCTTTGGGAAACTATGTCATAGCTCAAAAACTTGAAATACAAATCGTTTGATTTTTTTTCATGGATAGATAGTCCAAAGTGTCCTCTTCAAAATGAGAGTCAAGAGAGACTCTCATCTTCGATCGTTTAGGCTTTAACGATTTAACAATTTACAATTCATTTATGCTATTCCATATCGTAGTTATAAAATATCTAGAAAAACAGCTTCACAAACCTCGATGGTTTTACGAAGGAATTTCTAGAAAACGGTCGAACAAAAATATGGTTTTCGACTTTTTTGATGATATAATCAGGTTTATCAGACAAATTTAGCCATAGTCTGAAGCTTTTAGCTCGTCCTGTTGTTCGTTGAGTGAATTGTAAATTTTTTAATATTAGGTGAAAACAACCTTGAAATAGCAGTTTTTGTAAAACTCAGTTTTCAGCAGATATTTGAACTCTTCCTAAAAAGAAATGTTACCATGAGATTCAGCATGATCGCTAACCCCTGTCTCGAGTCATTTCTAAGGTTCTAATCTGTGAAAAAAGACCAGTCCTGGAGCTCCCTCGAAATCCGCTAAACGATCGGAGACGAGAGTCTTCCTTGACTCCCATTTTGACGAGGATACTTTGGACTATCTATCTATGAAAAAATCAAACGATTTGTTCAAAATTGCATCAGTGTAGATTTAGACTAAGTAAAACTATATTACTTGCTGTATGAAGAGCAAGAAATTACGTAGTTTTACAGTAAATTCAAATAATGCTCTGTTATGGTATTTACTATCGATTACTAAAACATTTTGCTTTTAAATTCAGAAAAAAGAAAACATAATGATGAATAATTGATATTTATGATGTTTCATTTTGATCATGCCTACTTATCTTGATGAAAAAGTGAGATACGAAATTGCCAGGAAGTTGAAAAAAAAAGGTGAATTGTATTGTTACAAAAGCAAGCGGTGCAAAAATGTGTTTTTTCTTATAGAACAGAAAGCAAAACGAATGTTTTTGCTAATGAATGATTGAGTTTGTTTATTATGAAATCTGACCTGAAACGGATGTATAATACGTACTATAAGGATTAGAATAGCTAACAAGCAGATATAATGAATGATGGATAAGTCAATAACATTTCTTATTTTTAAATTAATTAAATTTTTATTGCTATCTTACCTATATAATGGTTTCTTCCTACTGGTTTGGTTGGTCTGAAGCGAAAAAAACATGTTCAAGGCTGATACTTAAGTCTTGTTGACAAGTACTCTCCTTAATCGCTTGCACAGCCTCCCGATGCGAAATATAAGGAGAGTTAATGAGTTGAAATATACGATTTCTCGTCATTTTACTCAAGTATAACACATAATCTATTAGCTAGTAGTACGAATTAGGTTTTCAAAAAAGTCTTTTACCAAAATGTCCAGTTATATTGGCTAATAATTGATGTGTTTCATTTCTGTATGATTTCAACATCAATAAAAATAAGCTTTTTCTGTAGAAAATAGTTATTTTATACCAGGTAGCTGGTATAAAATAACTAATAATCATGATACCTGCAAGTATCATGGTTATTAGATAATTAACACTACTTCAGTTGAGGACGAATTCAAATCAATTTTTAGTCATCTTATTTTTATACAAATCAGCATTGGAATTTGAAAAAGAATACTCAAAAAATGTGTTTGACATTTAGATCTGTTAATAACATCTTTAGATCAGACATATGGGTCAAAAAGTAACATTAGCAACGATGACCGTGTGATGGAGTGTTTTTACTTCTTTCTATGTTTGTCTTATTTCAGAAAATCTCAATCTTAATCAAAAGTCCATCTATCAAAATTAACATTAAACAGAGAAAATATAAGTGATGAAAGCGCAATATTTTTAAGTTTTGAAATAGTATACTTAATGATACTACTCAAATTTAAACTCACGATACATGTAGCAAAGTCTGATTTAATGTCAAATGAGAGATACCAAACTTTTTTTGATCAGCACTTTTCAATATCCGTTAGCTTTCAAAACGTGGATTTTAGCCTAAAGGTAACGTTTTTTCGATTCTAACATTCAAGGTAAGCAATATGATCGAATCCCACGTCAGACTTTTTTGCCTCTTATTTGCTGCTATGGTCGAACTGTTTCTTACTTATCTTTTATCGACTGTACGAGAGAACAGTGAAATAAGGCATCGATTGATATTCTATCTGAAAAATGTTCAAAATAATTCGAATCAAAATATGAAGAATAAAATATTACATTATATCAACACAGCATGATACTGAAAAATAACTTTCACTAAGACTAGAAATACAAGACATGATGTCAACATATCTTCGAGCTCATCCCGCGAAAAAACGACAGAAGAGTGTTTCTCAAAAAAACTTAACTTTTGCTTAAGTGAAAAATTTAACTTAAGTAAGATTTTTTTGCTAGGTGAGTTTCTCGAAAGGATCTTAACTTAAGGGACGTCCTTAAGTAATCGACCATCCTTAACTTTTCACTTAAATGTTTAAGTGAAAAATTATTTATAATTTGTAAGTTCTTTATTTTACGTTTTTTCGTAGTCAAACAATAATTAGATAGAAAATAATTTTAGAAGGATTTTATTCAAGACATTTTGTAGTTAAATTGAGAAAAACACTCGTTTCTGATAAAAAAAATATAAACCTCTTAACTTAATCCTTTATGCTCGATTGTTCCTTTCAAAGGACATCATCATAACTGCTAGAAAAAAGTAACGCAGCGCTACATCAAAACTTTTTCAATCGGATTTTTTTTTCCAGCGTAAACTAACACTCTATAACCTAACAATTGCTAATAACAAAAGTTTTCATCAAGCCTAAACAAAGGTATACATGTTTCAAGTTTGATTTCCATGATTAGTTACCGGCGTAAAGGATTAAGGAACATGACGACCATCCTTAACTTTTCACTTAAATTTTTAAGTGAAAAGTTAAGGATGGTCTTTAAGGGGTGGTCTCTTTTTATAATTTGTACCTTCTTTACTTTACGTTTTTTTGGTAGTGAGCCCCACAATAATTAGATAAAAAATAATTTTAGAAGAATTTTGTTCAAAACATTTTGCAGTTAGATTGAGAAAAACAATCATTTCTGATAAAAAAAATACAAACCTCGATCGAAAAATCATTTGTTCTGATGGAGTTATGGAACTTTTACTGAAAGCATCACCATACGCAGAATTTTAAAAATTAATGAAAAAATGCGTGATAACCGACAGAAAAATTATTTCTCCATGGATTTTGATGTGAAAAAATTTTGAAGTGTAGCTAAAAGGTAGAGCGAAGTCAGGGTACAAAATGGCTAATTCAATTTTCCGTGCTCTCAAATCGTTAACACAGGAAATCGTTATTGAGTTTAGAAAGTTTTCATTTTTTTCGTCTTTTGTCTAATTTGCTTAGTTTTCTTGACTGAAGTTCTGAAATTAAAGTTTAGGTATGGTTTTGTATATTCGTCAATTACTGAAATTCCAGAATAAATAAAATCGTACTAAAATTACAGCTTTAAAATGATCATTTTGATTTTTAGTTAATAAGCTGCAATATACGTTTTATTGACTTAAAAATTAGTCATATCACATGATTGTATCTAAGACGATATGAGATATGACAATTTTACAGGGAAATAATTCAAATAAAAAAGTTTAAGTTTAAAGTCAAGTTTGTCTAAAAGCTATTTAGTACGTACTAGATATTTTAAATTTGTTATTATTTCATAAGAATATATTTTTTGACAAGATAAATCTTTAAATTTTAAGCCTGATTATATTTTTATCTTTTGAAATATTTATCATTAAATGTTTTAAATAGATATTAATAATATATTAATATCAATCAAAAACATATAATACACAACAGAACAGTTTATCAAAAACAGCTAGTCACACAACTTGTATATAAAAACAAAAACAAAAATGATAACAATATAATTCTAATGAATTATTTTTCCTCTTCTCGTCCGTTTTTTAATTTTACTTTTAATATTTTCTCTTGCTCGTCTAACATTACGTCCAATTAATTCTTTTTGATCATGATATAATTCTTTGAGTGTGTCACCTTGTGGTGGTTTTTTCAAAATGCCACGTTTCAATAATGTTTTAGATAAAAATGCTGTTAAACCTAATGAAGCTGCATAACGAAGAGGCATAATAAATTTATAAAGTAAAATGGCAGTGGCTAATAATCGTACACGTTCACCAGTAAAGTAATTATTAAAATATTCAACTTGTTTTTCAGTAAGTAGAGGTAATTTTTTAATAATTGACATAATTTGAAAATCGTCCATTTTCTGAATAAATTTTGTACGACGTTCATCGCTAATCACATGTAAATACACTAGACCATTCATCATCCACATTCCTAAAATTGATCAAAATAAAATAGTAAATAAGAAGAAAAAAAATTATAAATAATATGATCTTTACATTCTAAGAATTTTGTCTATAATTACCTAAATCTAAACCATTGAAATGAATAAAAATTAATCCTGAAATCCACATCCATGATGTAACAAAATGAATAGCAATTAAAACTTTTCCATATTGAACATAGGCTTGACGAAATCGTTGAAATATACTCGATTGAGATTTTACTAACGGTGTTGTTAGTGGTAATGGTGTTGATGGTGATGGTGGTACATAATTTGGAGGATGAATGGGATTATTTGGATGCAACTGTCGTCGTTGAAATTTAACAGCTGATGATTGATTTTTAAATGTTTTTAAAGTATTTACAAGTGCATAATATGGAGAATAACGTAGTTTATGACATTTAAATAATAAATTTTTGTTCAATAATGATAACGTGGAATAACATGTCGTTGAAGAACAAATGGATAATGGAAAATGTTTAGAAGTAGTTAATGGTGACGAGCGAATAGTAGATAATAGTAGAGAACGAATAACAGGTTGAGTAGAAGATGTACATATTGTACGATAAAGTACAAACATCTATATTCAACAAAAAAAAATAAAATTTCGAATTAAAAAAACAGATTTGTATAATGTATCGCTTCTAAACATATCAGCTTCGCTCAAATTTTAGCAGACATCAACTTCGCTTAGAATCACAAATATACAGACGATTTACGGTGGAGGTGTTCTCAACAGATGTACGATGAAAGGAATATTTTTTTGTTTTAATTCATCAAATTTTATTTAAACGATGTATATTTTTTGTTCTATTTAAACAAAAAAAAAAAACGTCGTTTTCATTGCATATCTTCTAAGAATACCTTTTTCAGATTTTTTTATAAGCCAGGGAACTCTATTCAGTGAATAAATAATATGTTTAACTCGTATCTTCTACACATAAAAATGATACAAATTAAGTCCACATTCTTGTTTATTACAAGAAAAAAGCTTAAAAAAATATAATAAAGAAATTATCTGAAAATATGGAATAAATTCATTTCAATTGAAAACAAAAAATCCTTGTACGATAGTATGTTTTATTGCATCGTTATTCAATCGTTATTGATATAGAACGGTGTTCAAACACAAACTGATGTTCAATAATATGTATGTGAGACAAACAAAATTAAAATTACAATCATTATTAGTATTTTAACTAGTATGTCTTGATTGTCTCGTCAAATGAAGAAAATGCAAAGTTTTGAATAATTATCAAAATCAATGAATTTTTTAAATTTTTTTTTGTTTTTTCTATGATATAAAAAAAACACATAGAACTATATACAAAAACATAAAAATTCAACAAATAAAACTCTCGTTTATTTCTCTAACATTTTGTCTAATGGATTTACTAATACCGTTCCAAATAATTCAAGATCATTACTGAATAACGGTACTATTATGTTCGAATTTTGATCTTGAATTGTTGTTGTTGGCAATAGGAGACTTTGTTTTTTGGCTTTTTTATTTTTATTTGATGGTATTACATCATCTTCTATACTGGCTGATGATTCAGAATTTGATCGTTTATGTGACGAAATTTTCGATGATGTTGTTGTATTCGATGTTTTTGATTGTTTATTTTGTTGTTTATTTAATTTTTCTGTAGTTATTATCGTTGTAGATGTTTTTGTATTAGTTAACTGTTGTTCTTCTTCAGTATCCGACCCAACAGATAATGTATCCTCTTTTAATATCAAATCTAATTCAAATATCGGTTTCATATAAATGGCAATTTGTTTTAATCGTAAATGATATGTGGAATCAAATGTTGTCAATAAACGTTCAAAATATTGTTTTCGTTCTAAAAAATAGGAAGAACAAGTGATTACATTTTGTTCTTTTGATTTTTTTCTTTCTAGATCGTCTTACCAAGAACAGATTGTATTTGTGTTTTTAATTCTTTTCGTGTTGGATATTTTTCAATATCAATACATTTTCGATCATATTCCAATAGATGTAAACGTTTTTCTTTTGCTTTAATCAAATGTTTTTCATTTAAATCTAATTCAAGACGTAATTTTTCTAAATGTTTTAGAATAAATAAATTTTTTTGTTCATAACATTGTTGTTCATATTTATCCATTTTTAATGTTGTTTGTGATAGAGTATAAGAATGTTCAATAGCATATAATGATGCGAGAATTTTTTCAAATGAATCATCAACTATTGATGATGATGAATCTTGAAACCATCGATGATACGTTTTCATTAATGTTAAAATACGTCGATCATCAATACCCATATCACCTTCATATAATAGACGAGAACGAATAATATCATCTTCTGGTATACCGAGAGTACGTTGTGACTAAAATATATATTGAACATAAGACTAGACAAATAGATAAATGTAAATATATTTTTTTCAAATAATTATACATACTTTTAATTGTTGTTCTTGTTTTGGCACTTTGACTAGCGTTGATGGTAATGATGAGGTTTGTGGAGTTTGAACTTTTCGTTTTAATGACGGAACACTTTTAGTAGTTGATGAAGAATTTGTTGACGATGACATAATGAAATAATTTAGCAATCTAAAAATACATACATTATGGACTTTATAACAATAACGTCTAATGATGTGTATAATACAAGTTAGAGGTGGGTAAGATTACCATGTCCTGTAATACCTTGCAAGGCAAGACAATAAGGGGATGTCGAAAAAATGAATATCATCCACATCTGATACATGCAATATTTTTTTTTAAAAAGCTAATAGAATGGAGAGACTACATTGTTGTTGTCAAATTGAACATTCATTAATGAAAAGATTAAAGAAATGATAAAGCATATACGCTTAGCTGTGTAATATATTACAATAAAAATCATAAGTGAAATATACGAAAGTTGAGTGAGTAAAGCAAGGATATTTTTCCAGTAATGTGAAATGGAGATAAGAAAAACAATGACAGACAGATTGATGAAAAGTCACGAGTATTCATTAAAGACAGCTAAATCTTTAGTATATCGAACAAGTCGAACTCGTCAAGTATCTTGATTCAAACTTCTTTGTCAAATGAAAGTCATTCTTCTGTTGGTCAGTTCACTTATCAAAATACGACTATATCCAATTGTTTCAAGTTGTAAAGCAGCATCGTAATAGTTGACTACACATAGTGGCATATAAGTACAGATTGCGAAAACTATTAAAAGAGCAGCAATACTATTATTTGATTTCTCTGTACAAACGAGTATATTGTTGGTTTTATTGAGACAAATTGTAAATTGGCTATTAAAAATAGAAAATACATTGCCATGGTCGCTAATATATATATATATATATATATAAAGGCTATGCATTTTTGGCGACGACGATTTATTGGAACGCATTCGAATAATATCTGTATCACAATAAAAAAAAATTAATTATAAAAACTTTCATTCTCCTAGCAAGAGCATCTCATCCGAAAAGTAACTTGAGCAAAATTCGGTAAAGAAAAATGACAATATACAAAATTAGCATTTTTGTGTAGTAGAAACTATTCATATATTTTGTGAGTTCAAACGGAGTCAGTTTTCACTAAAATTTGAGCCCACCCACAAGATAGTAGCGATACATTATAACAACAGGGCCCCATCAGACACAATTGTACAATAAACTAATAGCTTAAATAGTTATAACAGATAATTTTGAATAGTAAAAAAGCTTAAAAAAATATTTTAATTTCTAAATAAAATCTCCATTCTTTGTACGATCATTGTCTTAGAAACATGATGGGCTAGTACTAAAAAATTGACTATGAGAAAATTCATTAGACTTCTTAACAGAATTTTAGGAAAAAACTAGATACAATGGAACGTTCCGTGATCTTGATCGTTAAACAACATGTATTCCATTCGAGAAGCCCTTCGCTCTTTTTAGACTACTATAAAACGACATTAGTGTAGTAGAACCCGTCACATGTCCAATATCAGCTGGATTTGTCCGAATTGTTTTACAATGAAACGATGGCTTATTTTTATCAGGAGAATCGGGACCCGACAACTCAATTTCTACAATATGTCGATCGATTAATGATTTGTCAGCAACTAGACTTCCTTGAACACCATCAAAACCCAAGTTTGACGCCACTAAAGCACCAATAGCCATTGTATTGACATTATTCGGTGCTAAAGAACATAATTGACGTACAGGACCATGATACAATACCACTTCGCCTTCATTTTCTAAATAATAAATAGAATGGCATGTTTAAGAGGTAGAAAATGTCCTTCGAACATGCATAGAACATAAAAAATGTTTTGTACTTCTAACTATTAACTATACGGATTAATTATTCACTTCTTCTAGCTCTCAGAAGTTTACTTTATCGTGCGAAGATCCCCAACTTTCCTTCTAGACTTCAGTTGAAATATGTCTAAGTTTGTTGATGCTGGTTACAAATCTCAAAGCCATAACTGTTGCCATCAAACCATAGTTGTTAGATTTTTAATTATATTCAATACAGTTAAATCTAAGGAGAAACATTTGAGGACTTTTCCTTGTTCAACGTAACGTGATGTCCATTGAGGCTCGGTTACCTAAATTTTCCATTAATTTTGTCCTCAATGGTTCATTAAGTTTAAACGAGTCTGGATGTTTTTTCATTGTTATACATAATGATTTAAGAATATTTCTTTCAGACATTTTCAAAATATCTTCGGCACCCCAAAATGCACCACTACTAATATAAATTGAATGCGATGAATCCACAGTTTTTTTACATAATTGTTTTTCCAAATGTTCGTTCGCAAAAGCAGTCGGTGAACCAACAAATAAATCACAAACGTCGAGAATTTGAATACCATACTTTTCAATGACCTCTGGATGTGCGACTTCAATAACTAAATCAGGTAAACGTTGTAAACCTAGAACAAACAAACGATTGTTCAGGCATGTGTAGTAAGCAGAGATGCGCACCGCCGCCGCAGAAAAACTATTGCAACTTCCGCCGCCGCGGCTGACAGCGGAGAAAAACTTCTGACTTTCGGCGCCGCCGCCATGTCGTTAAACTTTTGTCGCCGCCGAAGGCGGAGAAAATCTTTTTCCGAAAATTTTGACTATTTTTGTTAGTACGTTCTTATCTTAGGCATCTAGCGTGCAGCGCGTTTCTATCTTTTCGTATACGGCAATGTACAGATACAGTCGGGACGTGAAGAACGTGCCAGAAATGAAAGAGAATGTTGTTTTACTTAAATTATGAGATTCGCCGTCGATAACTAATATTTACACGCCGCCGCCGAAGGCGGAGGAAGTTTTCATAGCCTCGCGCCGCCGCCGCCGAAAATTTTTTATCGGCGCACATGTCTGGTAGTAAGTACAATGGCAAACAGCTTTTAGATAACATCATCATTCAAGGACAAAGCATCGTAATATAGCTGCAGTCTACTTTGCGAAGAAAAAACTGGCCAAAGACTTATCATGTTTCATTGTTAAATATTCATAAACTTGGAACTCATCTTGGATTCTTATTAGTAGTGTCGATCAGTAATACGTACAATTGCTTGCTTTTCTAACTTTTAGAAATAGCTATACTACTGAATTCCACCGCAAAAACGAAGCTACTGAGTATTCCAGCAGTATTTCTGTTTTTCAAGTTATACGAAATGATTTATTTTGCGAATAAATAAATGAATGGCTTAGTCAATGATAAATATGTGAAAGATCTTAATCAATCACCTTCATTAGCTATAGATGATGATAAATTAAGTAATTAAGAAACGCAAAATAGAGATAAAGAACAAATTTATTAAAAAACCTCAGAACGATTCATATAACTGACTCAATCAAAGATAATAAAGTAGATCCTTGGATAATAATATTTTAGGAGCCTGGGCCTGTTTCTGAAAAAAAAAAGTTTTACTTAAGTAAACAGGAAATTATACTTAAGTGTTTGTTTTTGAGAAACTCCCTTAAATAAAATTTTCCACTTAAGTGCGTTTCTCAAAAAATTTAAGTTAAACAGAGGTCATGCAGTAAAAACCACTATTTTGATGAAATTTTTTTGAACAAAATCCTTCTAAAAGTATTTTCTATCTAATTATTTGTGGGTCTGACGACGAAAAAATGTAAAATAAAAAAGTGAAAAATTTAAAATTATTTTTCACTTAAAAAATTAAGTAAAAAGTGAAAGATGGTCGAGATGTCCCTTAAGTTATGATGCTTTCGAGAAACTTAGCCAAAAATCTTACTTAAGTTAAATTTTTTACTTAAGCAAAGCTTAGGTTTTTTCGAGAAACACGCGCCAGCGGCTTATGCTCAATTTAGAATAAATAAACGGAGTAAAATCACAAACTCTTGCATATTTGAAAAAAAGAACAGTCAAGTCAATTAAAAGAAGAGAGATTAGATGACATCTTTTTATAAGAGAAAATATTCAATTGAAGTAGATTTTCTAGAAGATTTTTCGAGAACCGGATCATGTTTCAAAAACTTAAAGTAGAAATATTTGGACTTTTTTTAATGCCAAAAGTATTTTCAGGAATCTGGCTCAATATTCAGCTTATGAAAGTGATTTCTTCATATTGTTTCCTTACATTCCTCAACATTTTATTAAAATGTTGAAAAGATGTCCTCGACTCTCCTCTTTTCAGTCTTCTAACGCCACAGATCTCTAGTCCATAACTACAACAGTTAAAAAGCATCGATGACCATTCTTTTTCAAAACAGACAATATAACTGAGAAATACTGACCTTCTTGTATTGTATGAACAATTAATTGTTGATTAACATCTGGATATTTTTTGAATATATTAAACGAACGATTCCAAATAAATACTAATTCAAATTCTCGATTTGGTTTTAACTGTTCTCGTTCCAATTGATTACATAAAAATTGTCCTAGATGACCAAAACCCAATATTCCTATACGGCGATAGCGAAATCCACATGATGAATCCAAATTTTGGGCCATATTTACAAGAACTTTGTTTATCACAGGAAACATGCACACACTACATTATCTAAAACGTGAAACAAGAAGTTAATGTATAAACAGCTCAACTTCGTGTTCTGTAAACAAGAAATTGAGAAATCAACTACTTTTCATAGAGATAATTGATATGAAATTTATCTATTGATAAGCTAAATTTGAATGTCTTAGTGGTATCAACAATAATACACTCAAAAATGTGAACTATTCAACATATCCGTCGATATCTAGAACTAGAACTTTGAAGAAATTATTCACTACTGAATTCTAGACAAGAGGGAGAAAACTGATTTGAGGATTTTGAAGATTTCAAAAGATTTGGAGAGATTTTAGAGATTCAAATCAGCTTTGATCTGAAGATTTGAAAGATTTGGATTGATTTGAATTGATTTCAATCAACTTGATTTGAAGATTTGAATTGATTTGAATCAACTCGACTTGAAGATTTGAAAGATTTTGAAAGATTTTAAAAGATTTGGATTGATTCAAATCAGTTTTCTCCCCCTTGATTCTAGATCAAACAGTAGAAACAAAAATGTCGTCACAATATAACTATCATTTATTCTTTAAAAAAAATAGAAGACACATCACTCTATTAAATTCAAATAAGATTTAGTTTAATTATTTTTATTTAAACATGTTGAAATTAAACTATTTAATATTATCTATAACCGTTACTCTAGTTCTTTTCAATCTATTCAGATGAAACACGTTCGCGGTTTAAAGAATCTGAGACAAAAAAAAAGCAGTGACGCTGAGAAAGGTGCAAAAAAGAACTTAGTCGAAGATCAGAATAACTTACTCGACGCCAACAATCATAAGAACAGTTTATTGTCTATGAACAAGTTTAATGATGTTAAAAATTATTTATTGATCATAGATAGATCATAGACCACAGATAAACAAACATTGTCTCTATTTTTTCAAACAAATAACGTAAAGATACTTTTTAGTTTATAAATCGATGGTTTTTAGTGTAAAAAATAAATTGCGTAGTTGAACATAGTAATTGACACAGCATAATAGTATCTCATACAGCTTACATGTCTCTTTCTCGTCTACAAACTGTTAAAATTAAAATATTTACAAAATTCTTTAATTTCAATTGTGAGGGAAAGAGAGGGAGACTTTAATAAACCAACATACTCATTTTTTTCACATTGTTTGATATCATACTATTATTCTTCATTGATCGCATTTTCAACTTCAACATTCAATTTGTGATATTGGACTTCGATTTAATAGGAAAAATGGTAATTTGTAAGATCGAATAGTAGTCAAACGTGATTTTGGCAGTTTTGGAATAATATTATTAAAAAAAATCCTTGAAAACATAATTTATGTGTTTGTTTTAATGGTGACGAATAACGATTTACGGTATGATGATATAAAGAAATAGATGGTAATATTAATGTTGTCATAAGAGTGAAATTCCAGAAAGACAAACGTAAAAGAATAAATTACAAAATTTTGATCCATCTTCCTCAATTGTCCACGGACAAGTTCATTTGCAGGTCGTTGATCACTCCATTAATATCATGGTTAATACAACTATATGAAAATACACATTTTTCATCTTTACAAAGGAGACTCAAATATTGCAGATATCTTTTATTGACGGACGTGGATGAAAACAATTAGTATAGTAGTTCTATAATAGTTCGTAATATCCGTCGTCTACATAAATTGCATGAAATATAGTCATTATATATATAATTATAGTGTTTTGTTTATAACTATTAATATGATATTTTTTATCAATTAAACAAAAGTTAAAGAAAACGTTTTTCTTTTTTGTTCAACGAGAGAGAGAAATACTCGATAAGTTTGAAAAGCAGATACATGACTATGACTCTATTCATTTAATTTCATAGATAAATAAAAGATATAAACTTTTTAGTATGAAAACAAACCGAAAGAAAAACAGTAATTAAAATATATATTGATGTTAATTGGCTTCTAACAAAGAAAAGAATCATGTGTCACAAACCCTTTTTGTTTAAATTAACCATATCGACTAAAGTCAATAATGTGTCCTATCAATTAACTCACGAATTTTATTTTTTCACGTCAGAATCAATTAAGAAGGCGATAGAATAGACGCAAGCACAGATTGTGTATGAATGAATCGGAAACGTCTATATAGTGAACTGATCGTAAATTTTCTATACAGGAAATCACAAAGATATGTAAAAAAGTTATCCATTAACTTTTATGAAAAAAAACAAACAATCGCAACTTAGACACAACACTATCTTATTTTTGATCAACGGACTTCTCAGCAGTTTTCACCATCAAAATATTTTATTGTCCTTTCTCAAACAACAGAAACACATACAAAACGAGAGAAACGTTTATTAATACGAAAAACAGAATTACTATAAACACTTGTCTCTCTATTCCTATACTCCATACATATTTAGTTTTTGTTTAATATATCGAAAAATTTAAGATATTTAGTTTGCTCTGTTTTTATATCAATGTAATTATGAAAAGTTTTATCCAAAATAAACACACATTCGACACTGACATGAGTTCAGACACTTTTTGTCCAATAAATACATGTGAATATAAAATTGTATAAAAATGAAAAATATAAAATTTTCTTATGTCGATACTAAAAAGTGAGAACAGTCAGCAACTAGAAATATTTTTTAAATCATTCAATGCTGAACTTGTTTCTGTGCATATTTCATTTTTCTCCATAGAGCTCGACACATAATGGGTAAACGAGGATCAGTTATATTTGGTGATTGTATACAACGATATTGAAAACTAAACGAAATAAAAACACTAAATTAACGATTAAAATACAACACGAAAGTTGATTTAATTTTGCCAAATTTTCTAACCGTTTTGTTTAACTTTTTTAAAATCATTTACTCAACTAGGACAGTATTTGAAAAAAAACTTTATAGCCTTCAATTACATGGTTCAGTATGTAAAATCTCTCTGCTATTCTATCTAAAATACTAGAATAAGAGTTTTTCTTCAAATTATAAAATGTTTCTGCATACCGTAATATGATACTGACTTCTTCAAATCTTTTTTGTTGTAAATAACTTAAAGCTATAAATAAATAGCATTTAATTATGGCATTTGGATCTCCGATATCACGAGCTAAACATAATTGATCTTTGGATATTTTCTCTGCACGCAATGCCTATAAGACACAAACAAGGATAAAGAAAAAAAAAAATACATTAAAAAAATAGCTTTATTACGTGTGTTAAAATTGTTTCACCGAGACATGAGTGTCCACCACCGAGAGTTGACAACCATGCCCAAGAGTTTTCGTATCGTATTTGAAGTGACAAATGATGCAATACAATGGATGTCCTAAAAAAAAAATGATTAATATATAATCGTTAAACGCACAACTAGCTAGTCTTAGAAATCAGACACTTTAAAAATGACATAACAAAGAGTTATAATACCGACTCGCATTTATACCGAAACTATAAATATAATCTAACTCGCAGAAAAGTATCTGTCGATTATCAATGTATTATAAGTGAATAGATTTTTCACAAGATTACGCTAAACAACAGGCGAGCATGGAGTTGCTGAAATAGAATGACTCATTTATCATGCAACGATATTATTTTAGATAAACATCGTGTTCTTAAAAAGACGTATTACCACAGTCTATTAATGTATTCTGTACAAGTCCAATTGGAGACCAGTTGAATTTCATTTCGTTCTGGTGGAATGTTAACAGTATAAAAATATTCCTTCAATTTGACACAACTATTTGACTGGATTAGTGCTTGTTTGATTAAACGACAAAACTGTCGGGAAAATTCTGTAGATCGATAACATTCGGATAATAGTGCTGAGAAATAATATGCCTTCGATTTAATTACACATTTTATGCATTTCGGAATATCAAGATTTTTTGAAACGACTTCACGGATGCAACCGGATTTGTTAAACCTGAACACTGAAGTTAAATCAAAGTAATTATAGAGCAAAATTAACATTTTTTATATCGCTGTTATTTTCTTGTCCCTTGCATAAGACCTAAGAAAACTATGGATCCTCAACAGGAGTAAAAAGGAATCAACAAATTCAAAAGAACGTTGTCAGATGACGCACTCGGAGTACGAAACCCTTTTTTCTCCTCACAACAAATATAAGTGCGGCGTCAGTTGAAAATCAGATTCTACTTTGATTTATTCGGCGATGATGATTAATATTCGCAGAGTGATGAAGATAGTGGCGCTGTTACGATCTAAATATATATGCTGGAATACTTTTAATACTTTAAGTATGTTTTCTTTTGCTTTTTTTGGCCTCTATTTCAAAACCAATTGATAACGAAACAGTGTCACACTTGTGCTAGAAAACCTTCACAATCATTATTTGGATTTGAGAAGAAAAGAACTAATCGGGTTTAAGAGAAACAGGCTAGTTTGAAGGCAGGACCGTCACAGTCAACTAAACACACTGTCCCGAAACAAAATGTTATAGTAAATGTGTATCAATGTCATGCTAAAAGTGTGAGAATGTTACATTATATCGTAACACTTCGAGACGATGCAGAGAACATCAAAAAAATTGCGTTGATTCTGGACTCTTGATACAAACTTTGCTTGAAGTGTTTATCGGCACTCAAAATGTAACTAAGTTTATGAAACTCATGGTGAGTCAGATTAAATGAAACATTTTTGTATCTCAGTTTATTACTACTTGCAATTGGTGAGAAATCAATGTTTTAGGTTTAGTAGATGTAGAAATTTATTTGGTTTCCCCTAAAGCTAATTTATTTCACTCTACATGTTATCGAAAGAGAAAATTGTGTACTTATTTATATGTAAAATGTAGTGTGTAAAACTGAAAAGATATGTTATTTGCAATTTTATTTAAAAGTTATATATACATACATTACAAAACTATCGTTATAACTTAGAATGTAGGATTAGGGGTGGCACATTACTGTTACTTTTACGAGTAATCCAAATATTATATATATTCCTATTACCAGTAACAGTAATAATTTCCGGTTTTACTGTTGCTGGTAATAGGAACGCTCATAAAATTTGTACCGGCAACAGTAAAACTGGAAAGTATTACTGTTACTGGTAATAGGAATATATACAATATTTGGATTACTCTTAAAAGTAATAGTAATGTGCCACCCCTATGTAGGATATAACATGTTCCAATGATAAATTATATCAGAGTTTATTATTTCGAAATTTTTAAAGGAACTCGAAAGATTTACGGTAACCAAAGTTGTCAATTGGAAGTTTACATCTTTCAAACCTAGAATGCATGTTTAAAACCAGTAGCAAGTAACAACATTTTATCCAAACCGTTAGAATGACTTCTTCCGTTTTCGAAGTTGTATTGACTTTACGTGGTCTGCTTTCTTCATTTAGTAAATATCACTAGTAAGTCGATCTTTCTTTCCATTTCAAAACATTATCAAATCTGATTTACATAATAGTACGAGTTCTATCCACAAATTATGATGGCCATTATATTATCAATCTATTTCCTAGAAATTTTGATGAAAACATCAGAGTGTCAAAGAATCGATTTTTATTTAATAAGGACCTTGAGCTGTAAAAAGAGCGATATTTAAAAGCTAGAAGCTCGATCTGTGAATGATTCAGTAGCTGGGTAGAAGAAAAGTTATTGTAGTATATCAGCCTAAAGTTGCTTTGGTCCATGCAGTATTTATTGAATTGACGAAGGTTTTTTGTTTGTTTACTTATTCGTTTATACTTTAGGAAACTTAATAGAAGTATACCAGAATTCGTTTTTTTTTTCATTGCTCTTAAAATGCCTAAAACCAGTTAGTTAAGTTCGAATGTTATGCGCGATTTTGTACCGTATAAAAAGTCCAAATTATTGAATTTGTTATTACTTAGCATTACGTTGATGTTTTATTGACGTTTTGCTTAAGCAGACTTAGACACGAGATCGCAACAGAAAATTGAACTAATAGTACTACGAGTTGCGTTGACCATCGCCTCGTTAGCCTCCATTGTTCAGACAGATAGTTGTTGTAGTTTTTATTGTTGTTCTTTTTCCTTCGTCCGTATAACGGTCATGTTTTCTTTTATAAGAGTATGCACAAAAAAATCATTATAATAAATCAAAATTACATTTTAACAATGTTAATTTTGAAAGCATATTCTTTGTCATACTACTATGATGTGGTCGAAACCCAAAATCTGATTGTGAAAAAACACGCTCCACAGGAGCTAATGTAGTTGGAGTATTGGAGTTGACAAAATCTGTCATCAACTCAACTCCGATCGTTTAAAAAGCAAACTCCGCAAGAAAAGAGTAAACTCAACTCCAGAGTTGAGTTGCCCAGCTCTGCTTTATACATTCTAAAATATTTTTGTGAAGTTATGCACTCGAGTTGCGTAAAAATAATTGTTTCTGATTCAGGTGTCATCAGGTAGGAAGGAGAGAAACTAATTAAACCAAACTCTGCTCTCATAAGTGATAGATGGAACTATCGCCCTTTTGAAAATGTCTAATTCTAAAAAATTCCTGTATTCAGCACTGATTTCTGATTAAAAATAGTTTCTGTTACGCTATGTTATGCAGCAAGAAAAAACGTGTACAAGATTATATGCATACATTCTTTAATCTGTTTGATACACTTGCTTATTCTATCGTCTGTGATTTTCGTTATCATATTCCATAAACAGCTGATCAGAGATATTATTCTGTTTTAACTAAATTCTATTAACATGGTAACTTTCAAAAAATTTTCGCAGATATTAGAAAAATTTGCAATAGCTCGATGTCTTCATTCACGATCCTATATTCCTACATCTTTTTTTCCTTGAGAATATGAACCTAACGCATAAAGTAAAACTATTACCGAGTTTTGATTGATTTTTCTTGAAATATAGATTTTCAACTACGAAGTTTATGCAATATAAAATCCCTTGGAAAAAGCTAGATTCAGAAATTTGTTCATTTATTTTAGATCTTCGTTTTTCGTATTTATTTATTTATTTATTTTCTCTCTCAAAAAATGGTTCCTCATTGTCCTGTGTGTGGTCCAAAACTGTCATTATGTTGTGCACTCCTTAGTATTTGGGGTATTATTCAACTTTTCTTAATGGGAATTTTCTTCTACGTTGAAGCAGCACCACTTTTAGATGATATTAAGCTGAATGAAACACTGGCCAAACAGGCTTCAGATGATATACTAGCAAAAGTAGTTAAAGATAATTATGCACAAGCAGCATACAATTGTTGGATAGCAGCATTTCTCTATGTTGCAACACTCGTGTTCTGGTAAGAAATAGAGTTTAAAACATTGCTAATTATAGTATTGCTCAACAGTGAAAAAATAGCTTAACCAATTTATTTCATCAGTTAAATTCTCGTCTTTACTTTAGTGCTAGTCAATATATGTGTAATAGAAATAAAATGGGCTCTAATGATAATTTGAATAATTATGGATCTTCTCCACCGTTGCAACATGATCAAGATGAATAATGAGAAGAAATTCGATTTAGACTGATGACCAAACATTTATGTCATCATAATCATAAAGAAAATAGAGTATTTTTAATAAAAACAAAACATTCATTCCGTTATTTGTATAAAACGTACTGCTGCAAAACTAAATATTCCTCAACATAAGATTTGTTTTAAATTCCCTTATGATGTCATTATGTTGTGGTCTATCATTTTGTTTGTCAAACAAAAAGCGTTCTTAAATGTTCTTAGTCAGCGTTCTTCCTCTTGTCAGTTTACTATCGTTTCACATCTAAGTAAGAGTGGATGCTCATGTTTGATGAAACATCCTCTAAAAACATCAGTATTTAGAAAAAAATAAGCTAAATTTTTATTGTAGTATTTTGTCGAGATTTCAGATATTCTTGATGTAAGACAACAGTAAACCTTACTTTATTTGATTATAAAAATGACAATGCATTTAATCATTGGTATTTATTTTATTATTTTCTCTCATTTTGCAATATGATTTCGTGCGAATCTCCAACTTCTTATTTTAACTAATTTATTTTTGTCTGTATTTTTGATCTGTAAAAAGTATCTGTTGTTCTCTGTCTATACGTTTTTATGTTGTTTCGTTGTATTTGTTCTATTTTTTTTTTTTTTTTTGTTAAATAAAAGAAGATAGCTGCAGAACAAATATTAACAATAAACGGTTGTTTTGATCGTTGATAGCGATGCTTAGTCTAATATTTATCATTCTCTAATATAATCGATACTAAGAAGGGACTGCTAAGTCTTTAGCCTGCATCTATCAAACAGTTACCGTTCGCATTATGACAGAATTATCCGATTTAACCGATTATTCGACTATTTATGGTATGATAAAATAGAAATGAATAACTTGTTTTTGTTCTTTAATTAAATATTTCTTATTTATTCATTCAATGTTAAACTTTTAACTTTGATTTTAGGTGATCGTCATTGGGATTCACGACAGAAAATTAAATCTATTTAACAATTTAAATGTTGAAAAACACTAAACAGAACTGACAGCTATATCGTACAAAGTGTGAGTTCAACAATTTTTTCTTGAAAAATCACATATTTAATTTAAAAAATGCATAACAAAGCTGAGCTTTAGTATTTTTCTAAAAGACAATCATTTTGAATGTTGAGAAATACTGTTTATAGGAGAGGTTTTTTTTATGAGAACAATTTTTGAAGTTCGTCTCCTAGACCTTTCATTAAATTATTCTCTACAAAAATATCTCGTTCTAACCGCTCGAGAGAGTTATACAACATCATCTTTGGTGTTTTATAACTAGCTTCGCTAGTAAAAAGAACTCATCGTACACTTCGTGTCGATGTTAAAAATATTTACGCATAGTATAGCTAGTAACATATGAATGATCACTTGTAAAGACTATTTAAATATATACGTAAGTGTACGGCCTTCATACCAATGTATCATCATAACTCGTAATTTCCTTTTGCACAATTTAGTGCAATAGGAAAATACGTAGCTGGAGAAGTGCAACGTATGAAAGGTTGGCAGATCGAATCTAGAAAAACTTCAAAAATTGTTCTAATCATTTCGAATGTTATGCGCGATTTTATACCGTATAAAAAGTCCAAATTATTGAATTTGTTATTGTTTAGCATTATGTTGATGTTTTATTGATGTTTTGCTTAAGCAGACTTAGACATGAGATCGCAACAGAAAATTGAACTAATAGTACTACGAGTTGCGTTGACCATCGCCTCGTTAGCCTCCATTGTTCAGACAGATAGTTGTAATTTTTACGTTATCGTTTAATAATTGCACGCTACCGTAAGAAAACATCGTAGATCCAATCAAAGTAATATGGAATATCGTGCTAAGTTTTTAGTTATGAAAAGTTCTGACTACTATTCATCGTGAGTCAGCTTATCCTAGTCAGAGTTGATAACGGAGATTTCTGATTGTAAATTCGTTGCAAAGTAGGCGACAAACGTATTTGAACTTCTCAATCTATCGAACCACGATTGCTAGTGACTTCAAATTTTGTGTGAATTATCATCCATCAAGTAATTTCACTTTGTTTGTGGAGAAAAATTTAGTTTTACTGTCTATATCCCAACTAACACGTCATTTTCTAGTTCAGATAAAAAACAGAACTTTTAGAGCTGAGCGCATTCCGTCAGATATGAAGGTAAGCTGGAGTTTAAACCAAACTCATAGTACATGATTTAAAAGAGAAATCAACGCTCTATTTTCGCCCTATGAAAAGAAGAAACATTCAAGTGTCTGTCAGATTATAAAAACAGGAGAAAACCACGATAAATCCTAAAAGAAAAGAATTTTTTGAGGGCTTTTCAAATTTAGTCAAATTCACAATCGAGATGAGGAATAAAGTAGACCAAAAATATACAATTCGATAGAGAAATGAAAACTCTATCTGGTCATATTAAAAGAAAACTTTAATAAAGTTTATGAGAAATACAGTTAACTGACGAAAACTGTTAAAAATAACGTAATCAAACTGTATATCAGTGTCGCACTTTAATTAATACAAAATTAAGTAAGAACAAATGTCATAAGAAATAATTACTGAGTAAATTAATTCCAGTATCTCGCTGAGATTTTTTTTGTAGATGCAGCATTGGATTCTACTAATACGGCATTGGCGTGCAACACAATAATATCGATACGACACCGTTTTTGGAATAAAATATCGACATTATTTTGCATCAATTTGAACACCGATCTTTGACGATGCCAGTGACGCATGGCATGTGCATCACTGATGCCAGCCATGTCTTTTTTTCGATGCTATATTGAATTTTGTTTTGTAGGGTTATTCTTAAAAGAAGAAGTTTAACATTCATGTCGTACAATGATGTTCACATTTTGGTAAATAGATAAACCTCTTCATCTTCTTTACATCGTAAATTATTAGTATTTTATCAAAATGAACTGTAATCCATATATTTATCCGACGAACTATTCATTAATCAAAGAAGTTTAAACTTGATGGATGATAATTCATACAAAATTTGAAGTCACTAGCAATCGTGGTTCGAAAGATTCAAAGATCCACAACTTCATCTGAACTTTCTGCAGATTTTCGTTTATAAAATGAAATAATTATATTCAACAATATTAGTTGGTCTCATGATCTGAATCATTTTCATGTACAAATATTCAACGTCCCTTCCGAAAAAGATCTACTAACAAATATTGATTATAAAATGTAAAACACAATGTTTTCAAGGTGAACAATTTTATTCATGTACAACAACAAATTAAGATGATTTGTTTGTAATTTATTCAACAAAATAATGTCTATTTATTATTGATATAATTTGCTTTTTCTTATGTTTATATACGCATATGACGGTGAAACATTGTACTTGTAAAAATAAACGAGATTATTCAATAAATAATCTCGAACATTTGATTGTTTATTATAGAAACATAAATTTATTTAATTATAACGTTTTAAATTTATATATCATGATATTAAAGAAATCTACCGACTTTCATCATCAAAATATTATTAAATTATAATCGTTAATGCATAGTTGTTCGAGCCAAATATTATTGTTTAACAGAAAAGAACTTTCAATTGAAGAAGAAAAAAATTGATGATATGAAAAATGTATGAATAGTGACTGTATATGACAATATTTAGTTAAAGAAAAAAAATTAGAATTTATACAACTATACTAGTTGTAGAACGGAGGAGTTGTCCGATGGTGTTTTAAGTTTCAATTTTTACTAATGTATTTTGCCATTCATGTTCTTTTTAATAAAAAGTAAAGACAAATATAGTCTATGTTCAACGATGATTAACTCAAAAGAATCCTAATTTACTATCACAAAAGTGAATATTGTATCAACTATAACTGTTCTCTATTTATCTATTTACTTTCTGTTATAGACTATGAGTTATAATGTGACTGTAATTACAAAATATGGTTTAGGACTCTTATTTATTTTGATTTTTATCCAGTTATTCATTTATTATACTGTTTTACTGCTTTGTTTGACATCAATTTTTATTGGTAAGTTGATGAACTAAAATTTCTATGGAAGATAGTTGTACAATAAAATTTTTTTGAATAATAGAATATGAATAATTTTAACATAATGTTTGATCTTCTAATTGATTCAAAATGATACGTCTATTTCAGGTTCTGTGTACGGTGTCATATTAGCCATAAATCAATCGAAACAATATCAGCCTGTTAATGATCTAGATAGACAAGGACGTGTAATAAATTCAATTTTAAAAGATTTACAGGTATAAATTCATCTCTTATCTGTTTCAAATTTTTGTTCATTCTTTTTCATTTCTAGAATAAACAAACTGACGAAGAAACTGTTAAAAATTTGCAAAAACCAGTCTCATCCTCTTCATCGTTGAACACTGTAGATCTAGATAAATCAATTGATGAATTATGCGATTTACTAATTAATGATTTAATTCTTAGTTGGTATAAACATGTCTCATATCAACAAACAATATTCACAAAAGCATTCAAGTACTATTAGCTTATTAGTAATTAAATTAGATAATGATTCTTCATTCTGTTTAGACAAGAAATTCATAAAATTGTAAATGAATTAAAAATTCGATGTCGTGTAATTGATTGGGTAGCCGTATTATCGAATGATTTTATTGTATTATTAACGGAACATTTTCAAAAAGTTAAACAAGCAAGGTAAGAGAAGATAAGAATTAAACACACGAGTAGTTCTAGATTAAGAAAAAAAATTTGAGAGTTTTTTATATTAATTAAATATCAGTAAATCTTTATAAATGATCGTATTTTTGAAGAAAGACTTTATACGTTGGATACAACTTGAATATTCAATCTGAATATTTTTTGTCGAAGAATGATTTAAAACGAGTTTGAACACAAACGTAGAATGAGAAAATAGATTTTTTTTGCGTATTACTAAAGTGGTCATAATAATTACAGAAATGAGTTTTGAAGATTTTCGGGCGAGGTATCGTATTGTATCCGAAAAAAAAATTATATTCTTCAGCAATTTTTAAAGTTTTTTATTCCATTTACAACAAATTTAGTTTTATTTTTTATATTCTATTGTTTTACATAGATGTTCATCGATGTTTACACAGTGGCTTTTGAATGAGAAACTTAAAAAATAACTATATAGTCAACAACATATGAAAGAAAATATAGTGTTTATATCAAAAAAGTACAATTTTTACAACTTTTTGACATATGAGTTAAAGAAAGTTCAATCAACATACCGTTTTGATAGTAATATAACTGACGTTTTATTTTTTTTAAAATCTTAAAAGCAAGGAGGTCTTCTAATATGTCAATCCCCTCATAATATACTATTTTGTTCCTTTTACTCGATTCTAATGGAGTCGTTTGTATGCATAGAATAAGAATGCCGAGATAAACGTCAGCGACAATAAGTCTAGTCAGTGTATTAAGTATATCCCTTAAATACACCGAGTACAACTTGATGTATTTTTACTACCTAAGTGCCACTCCGTATCTGAATCGTAAGCGATGTTATTATACAAATTTCTGGATAAAAAGGTGGTTTTCTCCTTTTTTTTAGAGTTCGATGTTGAGACCAAAAAAGTCTGTTCTTATTCCTGTCCAGTATGAGTATCTCGTTCTAACGGAGCGAAAAATTACATAAACATTTGTGCTTTTCGCTATTTCTTTGCATGAATTGAATATACGTAGGGCATTCTAAAAGTTCTCGGACTGATTTTATTTTTAAAAAGTTACAGACTTGTAACTGTGTTGGACTTGTTGCCTGTTTATAGGCCATACAGTCCTCTATCCATAGACATTACGAGGTTTGATCGATCAAACATTTTTTGCTAGAATAATATTATCCTTAGATCACATTGGAACAAGTGATACAGATTAAATAACACTGAGTATTTTGTTCATAATTTTTTTTTCATTTCCAAGAACCAATCTTTTTTCTGCAAAAGATACGTTTTGAAAGTTTCTACAAAAAACATATTAAGCGTTTTACTAAGAAATCTACGAGTGGAGCGTTATACGAATAGTAGTGAGGAGATCTAAAATCGGTAAAACTGTCACGCACTTTTTGGAGTATTCAGGTTTTCTTTTAAATCACCTGAGTAGATATCAAGATTAGGGATGTTCTGTTCTCATAGAGAACCGGAACCGCGGTTATCTTATTTCCAGTTTTTCATCGGGAACCGGAAATCGCGATTTCTTAGACGGTTCCTTTTTTTCGGAACGAAGACTTTTTGACTTACCTTTCTTTTAACAAAATGAAAAACTATTGACTAAGCTACAAAACGATGTATTTACCTGTCATCATTTAAAAGAATTCTTTCGTTTATTATAAAATGAATTCTATTCGTTGAATTGCTACTGCTTGAAAAATTACTTTCCGGTTCTCAGCTGCGAACCGAGAACCGCGGTTTCTTTCATTTCAGTTTTAACTCGAGAACCGAACATCCCTAATCAAGATACCCTTTGGAGCAAAACGCTCAATATGTTTTTTAAAGAGAATTTCAAAATATATCTTTTGCAAAAAAAGATTAATTCTTGGCATCACAAAGCTTTTGGTTTTTTTAAAAATAATTCAGTCCAGGCACTTTTTGAATGCCTTACATAAGTAATGTAATTTTGCTAAACTATTATTATTTTCATACAAGATGCCTTTTTTCGTCAGACTAATGGAAGTTATATATCTGCCTCCACAAATGCTTCCTTTCAGACATCTTTAGTGAAAGGTTCTCTTCTGAAACACTTTTCATGGATAGATGTTTCCATCAAAAATTATAATAACCTTTAGCCACTGTTAATTTTTACTTAAAACCATTTGTTTCGTCTACATTTGCTCAAAGTCAAACAATTCGATTTAAACATATGAAAAATAAATTGAATGTAGTAGATTAAGACATGTTACGATTTGAATATTAGTTTACATTCTATACTTTTTAAATCTTTACTCTTTCATTTTTAGTCTGAATCCGAACATTGTATTTCAATTACATTCATTTTTGGTTACTGAAGAAAGTGAAAATGAATGTTTACGGTCCCTGTGTGAATCTGTCTTACTGTTATTATTACCCAATTACTATGCTTTAACATCAGCATCAAGACATTTATTACGTGAAGTACTCGTATTTAACGGTATGTATTATTTACTATCATAATCATAAATGAATTTATGTTTTTTCTTGCTCTCTTATTTAGTTGTTCGACCAACATTTGATAAATTGTGTGAACCAGATTATTTGAATGAACAATTGTTATCTTTTTTACAAAAATCAGATGAATACAAAGATCAAAAAGAGAGAAAATTTAATTTAGCATCAAATTATGAAAATTTTATGAAACTAATTCAAACATGCGATCAATTAGACAAATTGGAAGAATTATGGTAAAATAAAACTATTCAATTATCTATTATTCTCTCTTTTTCTTTTCTCTTTGCTTTTTAGGGAGAGTATTGTTACAGAAATAATGCAAGCAACAGCCATAAAAAATTTACTGAAAGAAGGCGTCATATCGAAAGGTAAGAATAATTTGATTGTAATAGTTAAAAACTAAAATTTTGAGATATCGTTGTTTATAGATAGTCCCCAGAAACATGGTACAAAAGTAAGAATTATAATTGTGTATTTATTGTACTTTAATTAATTATGGCTATTCTATTCATTTAGGGTGAATTGCTAATGTCTCGTGATTTAACAAAATACTTAAATCAATTAAGAATAGCTAAGAGTGTCTGTGAGAGGAGAATAACAGCAAATGGTGGAAGAAGCTATCTGTTATTGGATTCGACAACAAGTGAAAATGTTTCAAATAGAAAAGTAAGTTGGAACTGTTTCATAATACGTCTCTAATAAATAAATGAACGTTTTTAGGTACTATCGTTAAATATAATTCTTAGTTGTCAAACTGGACGATTTCATTTTCAACAATTTCTAGAAACACTTGGAACACACGCTTTAATAAAGTAAGATTTCATCATCCATTATTTGTACACACACACACATTTGTTTCATTGTTTTTCTGTAGATTTTGGTATGATGTATGGAAATTACGATCAGGTGGGTATTGTTTTTTTCTTTTTCTTCTATTTGATAATATCAAATATACATTAGGTTCTAACTCATGGTGACGATTTTGACCTTCTCACATAATATTGCTCATAAATTTCTGGCCACAGAGCTAACATTCAAATATTTATTTTTTTTTGTTTTCGTTTAATTCTACCACTGACAGTGTCTGTTTTAGCTATGATTTCTGAACGTCATCGTGTTGCATCCAATATTTATAAAACATATATTCTTCAATTTGGTAGCGCTGTTCGAGATGAAATTGATAATGCAACTGTTAATGAAATGAAAATATATTTAATTGGAGAAAAAGTATATCATAGCAAAAAAAAGAGAAAATATTCTTTCAATTTGACTAGTTTTTGTTTTAGGTTGAACCTGATGCATTTTATTTGGCTCAAACAATTATCTACAATGTTTTACAAAAAGATTATTACGGCTCATTTATAGTATCAGAATATTATTCAAAATTTTGTAAATTATTTGACAGTAATGATATCAAGGATTGTAAGCAATTCAATGAAATATATTTAGTAAAAAAATTTCAAATTATTATTCATTCTTATTTAGTTGATCTTAACGATCCATCATTAATAAACAATACTGTAAATATAAGTCCAAATGACCTATCATCAACTCTGTCAAGTCCCAATTCAGAAACTATGGTTCAATCGACTACTCCCGATGTGGATTCACCGATTATTAATGCAGAAAGTGTTCCAAAACGTTTACAAGATCTTCGTGTACATTTGGCCACAAAAGTATATGCATGCGAAGCGGCAAAAGAGGTTGCAACATTTGATACAAAAGTATGTCTTATTTTATATTTTATTATTTTTTTTCCTATTTTCTTTTCTTTTTTTTTTACATTTTTGATATTTAGACAGTGAAAAAATTAGAACAAGATATTCATGGTATTCAAATGAGAATTAGTACATTAGAATCATTAATAGAAAATGTTGATTTATGGTGGGATCATTTGGGACATTGGAAAGCAAAAGTACTATCAGATGTGGTATGTATAAAGAATTTTTCGAATCAAATGTTATTCAATGTACTAAATTTTAACTCTTATTTATCGATGTTAAGATTGAAAATGGTTCATCTTGCTTAGCTGTCTTAATTCGTACAGATGTTCAATGGTCAAGTGGATGGGTTGTTACTAGAACAATCCATGCTTGGCAAGAGTTCTATCTACGATTAAAACAGGTATGTATATATGTGTACCGTTAATTAAAACGTTTTCTAATATACAATTGATTTTATATGGCTAGCTTAAATCAAGTTTACCAACAATAGATTTATTTCGTACACGTACACGAAAATTTTCAATTATTAACGATTCAATTACTTATAAAAAGCTTACTGAACAATTACAAGATTTTCTACAAGTAAGTAAAATCTAATTTATTGTTCCTTTTTCTTCTTCTCAAAACATCAATCTCGATCGAATATTATCTTTATTGTATTATAACTCGTATTCCGGCATTTGCAAACAAATTCTCCTATTTTTTATTATCTACTTTAGGAAATATTGAAAGATGAACATATGTCATCCTATGAATTGGTTTATCAATTTCTTAATCCATCAATAGTTGATAATGATCAACAAGCTTACAATAATTCATTGAAAGGAGGAGTATTATCGTAAGAAAATAAAAATCATTAAATTAAAAATTAATCTATTTATTTAATTTATATATGTTCTCGGCCATTATAGACAAATATTTCGAAATAAAACGCATGTCGATACGGATGATCAAGATTATTCAGAAATCGATAGGTTTGATAGTAGCAGTTGTTGTTTTTTTTGTACCTATAGTAAATATCTAAGCATTATTTCTATTTAGTGTTCGATTTTTGGAAGGTCGTGCCGATTCAATAGCTAAACCACTATATCAATTAATTAATGAGATATTTGAAGTTAAAGGAATGTTAAAATTAGTTCGAATCACATTGGTACAATTTATTCGAAGTACATTTGGTAGTACAATAAACAGGTAACGAATATTTTCTAGATGACGTACAATCTTACTCTTATTTAACTGTTTTTCTGATGTTTTTTTTCTTTTAAAGACAAACTCGTCGTTTAATATTTGGTTTATTTCAAGAAAATCGTCTAGTTAGTTATGTAACAATGTTGCGTGATACATTTTGGCCAAATGGGTCAACATTGAGTATTATTACAAAAGAAACTCGAACAGATGATGAAAAATTAGAGAGAAGACATCAGGCAAAACGAAAATTGTTAACATCTATACCCGGTATAAAGCTTTATTTTAATCACACGATGTATCTTTTCTGTACTAAAGATTATTAAAGAGAATGAAAGTTAAAATGACAGTAACAGTGTCGATGCTTTGGAATGATAAACTCATGAAGAGATCACTAAATTTTAGTGTACAATTAACGAGTTTAACTTTCATATCGTTACTTTAGTATTATTAAGGTTTTGATGTATTTTGTTCTCTATTTTAGAGACATTTTCATTATTAATCGGTTATGAAAATACTCGTGGTGGTGTTGAACGTTTATTTGAATTATTTCAAGATGGTAGATTAAATAAACATTTTTTTTACGTATGTATTTCATATTTAATGTTGAAAATATACAGTTTCTAACAATATTCCTCTTATAGAATATTCTTTTAATGATAATTGGTGAATTATTTCCAGAAATTCGTTTAAAAGAACGTTTACAAAACGATGACTAGTGAATGGTCAGTTACTGTGATATTAAGATGCATTAATGCTTTTCAAGTGCAATATATATATTTTTTTGTGAGTTTGTACAAATTTTTACGTTTTTCTAATATTTTATTATTTTTTCTGAAAATAATATATTCCGAATGAAATATAAACATACGTCTGTTCTCAGATACACGTCGTATTCTTGGCTGCTTTAATGTATTCTATGGTGTCTCTTGTCTACCAAAATCGAGTAATATTGTATAGAAGTGTTGATATCAAGAAACGTCACGTTGAAAAGTGTCAAGAATTGGTCGTTCAGATGTTGATTCATGATAAAAATTTGATAAGAAAAAGAAACTTGTGATATGTTGAATGTCAACGTGTATCTGGATAATGAATATTCAAAAATATTTGAAAATTAATCTTTTGATTATCTTCATTCTTTCAATAAATTAAAATCATTATTTTCACTTGATCGAAAAGCTAATTGTGGAAGAATCAAAAAACGCATTATATTAAAAAGTTATTGTTAAAATCTAACTCGCAATAAACTTAAACGTGATCCTAGCGTATTGTGCACAGTCAAATCTCACGTTGAGGCAAAATGATTAGCAAAATCCTAATACAACGTTTGTCAATGCCATCGATCAAATTTGAAAAATCCTACAAAGTATTTGTTCAAATGTGGTGAGTACAGAAAATAGCCTTTATGTCCTTCTGAAATTTAGATAATCGAACCAGATAACGATGTACAATCAGTGACAGTTATGTCATGAAATTTATATAAACATGAACAAGGGAACGTAATGCAACAATACGCTTATTATCGCCAATTCGAAAATCGATATCCAAATACGTCAAAGATGGATTATCGTCTTTCTAAATTAAGTCATCGTTAGTGTAAGATCAATCAAGCACTTAGTTTATTACGAACGTCGACAGACAGGCCAGAAATGTTTTCAGCGAGCGATTTACAAAACTGAATATACATAAAATCAGTAACTCCTAGCATTCATGCTTTTTAAGTTTTGAACGGAAACTGAGTAATAGATAATAAGGACATGATTGTGTAATCGATTTTTGACAGATGATTGTGTCAAAAAGGCATTATTCTCTGTGCATAAGTGTCGTTTGAAAGGAAAGGAAAAATCAGACGTTTAAAAGTATTTTTTTACCTAGAATTCGTTTAACCCTTTGGCTCCCGGCGACACATAAATGCGTCTAGTTGCAATTATTGCATGATCATAATAGCTAGAATAAATTTGAAAAAAGATTTGAATAGCTGAAAGAATTTCCGATCTCAGGTGGTGTATACAAAGGCTCCATCAAAACTCCTGAAATCAGG